AAGTTTGTCCAAAAGCTCTAATTTTATCATGTAAATATAAGAATTTGTAAGTTGAACCAATATACGATAACTTCCTTTCCTTCTGTGTGTTTCCTATTTTCAGTGATTTGTCCTATAACCAGCTGACCCGCCTGGATGAGTCTGCCTTTGTGGGTCTGAGCTTACTGGAGAAATTAAATTTAGGGGACAACAGAGTTACTCACATTGCTGATGGTGTGTTTAGGTTTCTCTCAAATCTTCAAGCACTGTAAGTACATCATCCTTTTGGCAGGGAGGGTTACTATTTTCTTTAACACAATAAAGCAAATTAATTACAAAACAACCATTCAGTCTGCAAACTTATGTATGCAAATATTTTGGGTTATTTTGTCCTGTGCCTCGGGGAAAGGGAGTCTTACAAGTCTCTATCCCTATACATTTTTTTCTTTTTTTCCTGAGACAGAGTCTCACTATGTCACCCTTGGTAGAGTGCTGTGGCATCACAGCTCACAGCAACCTCAAACTCTTGTATCCCTATAAATTTATTTATGTCAAGCCTATACTAGGCAGTTAAGTTTGTACTTTAATCACCTGTACACCACACCCTTTCCAAACCATAGTTGGTAGTGTCAAGAATGCGGTCATTTTCTTGTTTTTTTTGTTTGTTTGTTTGTTCTGTTTTGAGACAGCATCTCACTTTGTCACCCTCAGTAGAGTGCCATGGCGTCATTGCTCACAGCATCCTCAAACTCTTGGGGTCAAGCGATTTCTCTTGTCTCAGCCTCCTGGGAGGCTGGGACTACAGGCACTCGCCACAACACCCGGCTGTTTTTTAGAGGCAGGGTCTCACTCTGGCCCAGGGTGGTCTCAAACCTACCCGTGAGCTTGGGTGATCTACCTGCCTTGGCCCCCCCAGAATGCTCAGTCATTTTCTGGTTCCTCTAACCTTGATAGTGTACCATAACTACTAGTTTAATAAATACATATTTGTGTATTTTACTTTTTCATTCAAAAGGATGTAGGATGTGCAGTGGGAGCCGCTCTGGCAGGAAACGTGATCACTATTACTAGTTTGCTGCATGACTTTGAACAGAAGAAATGAACACTTACTGCCAGATGCTTTTAAATTCTAGGATGCTACTATTCTTTTCCTTATTTTGAGGATGAGGGTTCAGAGGGATTAAAATTGCTTTCTGAGAGTCACGTAGTGTTAAATGTTTGGGCTAGAATCAGAATGCATGTCTGTTTGATGCTAAAGGTCATGTGTGTCTCATCATATCTCCAGAGGAACAAAATCACTTGGCCTTTCCTGGGCTTCAGTTTTCTTGCCTCTTCATCCAGCAAAGGAAGGATGTAGTATCAGATGGTTTTTCAAGGCAATTTCAATTCTCAAATTCTGGTTCTAAAATTCTTTGGTTCTCAAACTTACTCAAATTACAGAGTATAAGAATACATTTTTATAATTTTGTATACTTGTATACAGTATTAAATTCTCTAGTATAATTTTACTGAATAAACAGGTATTTTAATGAAATAGAGTAATCTCAAACATGGAGCAGAATAAGAGAAAACAAAGAGTAATTAGTAGAATTTCTATATTCTTAAGTTTCCTGAATAGGAGACTTTGTGGTCATCAGGTTTAGAGTTGAAATAGTTTCAGAAGAGAGGAAGGCTCCCAACTCTGGGACCTAACATCAATGAAAAGGAAAGCATGATCATTTTGTGAAGGTGCATATATGTGCACAGGTGTGTGTGTGTTTGCTTGATTGTTTTATAACTTCTTTCAGATTTGGCCTTGAAAAATTTAAGATGATGTCTTTAAAGCTGTCTCTCAGATGAGTGTAAAAAACAAAATAAAGTGATTTCCTTTTTTTTTTTCCCTTTTCCAACATTATCAGAGGTGAGACTAGATCTTTGCAAACTCAAAAACTTGAATGTGAAGGCTGGGTATGGTGGCTCACGCCTGTAATCAAGAGTGAGACCCCATCTCTAAAAATAGCCAGGTATTGTGGCCGGCGCCTGTCGTCCCAGCTACTCAGGAGGCTGAGGCAAGAGAAGCTTGAGCCCAGGAATTTGAGGTTGCTGTGAGCTGTGATGCCATAGTACTCCACAGAGGACAACAAAGTGAAACTCTATCTCAAAAAAAAAAAAAAAAAAAAACCTTGGATACAGCTGCAGCCTTTTGGCAATTAAAGGAATGGCAAACTGGTTTTTTCAGTATACTGTTGATAATTACTTTCAGAATTAAAATTTAGGAGAGTAATTGCAGAAGTGAACAGTCGTTTAATGCCAAAGAGATTTAAGGCAGACTTAGGATACAATCTGAGAAACGCTAGCTTTCCCCCATGCTCTTGGAATTGAGTTCTGACTCAGTCTGGCAAATGGTTTCTGTTTATGCTGTGCTGTAGGGGAAGGGCAAAGTCCTGAAGGGTTGAGCAGCTAGTTGTTTCAGTGTTTCAAAATAAAATGAATTTTGTTAGCTTTTCACTTAAAGGTAGCCAGTTGAACAGAGGGATCTCCTATCTTCTTAATCAAAATCACACAACTTTACATGTGCCTTATAACACAAAAAGCTTTGTGCTTTATTTTATTATGAGATAACTTAAGAGAGCAAAAGTGATTAAATACTGTTAACTGGTATTTTTTCCATCAGCACATGGTGTGGTACAATTGCATTTCCTCTGAAAATGGAATAGTGGATTTTAAAAGATCTATACTTTCCCTTTTAAAGAAAATACAGTGACTACTCTAACACCTGACTATATCATTCTTGCTTCCCAGGGGGATTATTAACTGTGCTTGAGCTGTGAAACTCTATATTGATATTACTCTTTGTCAGCTATTTTAAGTTTAAGGGCCCAGGGGAAGGCTTGGGTCACCCAGAAATCCCACTAGTCTGAAATCAGATTTGTAAGCCGTACTTCCTTGCATCTTGAAATCCTCCTGCTTTTTGCGGGACCCTGTCTATAATTTTTAATATGCTTATACAATTAGGGATTGTTAGAAAGATTAATCTCTTAGCAGATTGCTTACTTTATTTATCAAGACCAGCTTAATTTTTTAGTTTATGAGGATCAGTTCTTCCATGTTATCACAGATATTCCTTAAGAAGCAGAATTGGGTCTTCATCATAAATAACTGTTAAAATAAGGATCAAAGGGCCAGGTGTGGTGGCTCACACCTATAATCCCAGCACTCGGGGAAGCTGAGGTGGGAAGATTGAGCTCAGGAGTTTGAGACTAGCCTGAGCAAGAGGGAGACCTCCCCACCCCATCTCTAAAAATAACTGGGCACCTGTAGTCCCAGCTACTCATGAGGCTGAGGCAAGAGAATAACTTGAGCCCAAGAGTTTGAGGTTGTTATGAGCTATGATGCCACAGCACTGTACCAAGAGAGCCAGAGTGAGATTCTGTCTCTTTAAAAAAAAAAGCTTCAAAATGAGTGTGGTGTACCTTGTTCCTGCTAGGATGCTGTCTGATGTTGTCAGGGTCATGTTGACTAACATAACCTGTCTTTGAAAATTTGTAGAGACTTAAGAAACAATGAAATTTCATGGGCCATAGAAGATGCTAGTGAAGCCTTTGCTGGACTGACAAGTCTCACTAAATTGTATGTATTTATTTATGTGTACAGAAGTATATTTTCAAGAACCACTTGTAAGTGTGATTGAATTATATTTATTTGATATGGCTAGAAAGTCTGAGTGGTGGTTTATCAGGTGGTGTTTCTCATTTTGGGAAGTAGTTATTGGTGGGGCACTTTTTATTGAAGAAAACGTTACAGTGGACACTTGAAAAGAAGTTATTCATGGAAGTGGAATTTCTATTCACGTAAAGGAAAGGCTCTGAGAAACTAGAGTTGAGCTGGTAATGGTAATCTGTTTAATTGTTTGAGATACATGAGTAATTTATCTAGCAGGAGAGGCTTCTCTCCCATAAGATTTTTAGATCTCCGATGAGAAGAATTTCTCCAAAGGGTCATACTTATTTCTTTGACCTGGTGATCTTTTGCTGAGAAGGGAGAAATGGGGAATATAAACCAACTTAGCATATGAAAGCTACCAGTTTATATCAGTGGTCAGGATGGTTGTTAAGAGGTACCTCTTTGAGCTTTGTATACTAATAGAAGTCGTTATGCTGTTGGTTAATAATAAAAATTTATAACTTTCTTAAAAATGTACATTCTGTATTAAATATGTGCAATATTTTATAAAATCATTGCTCAGTAAAGCTGTTTAAAATACAAAAAAAGACATTAAGCTTATTTTTGCCTTTTATAGTTAAGCGTTTAATGAATTTAATTTTGTTTAGTGGAGAGCTTTATTAGAAAGGTTTGTTTGTATTTCAGAATTTTACAAGGAAACCAGATTAAGTCAATTACAAAGAAAGCATTCATTGGTCTTGAATCTCTTGAGCATCTGTAAGTATTTTGCAGACATTTGCTTACTATATCATCTTTGCTGTTAACAGAGGTTTTCACAACTCTGTAGTGTTTATGTCACTTAATTATAGAAACAGTGACTGATAATGTTTCATTTCTATTTATTTCAGAGATTTGAACAATAATGCTATAATGTCTATCCAAGAAAATGCTTTTTCTCAGACTCACTTGAAAGAACTGTAAGTAATTTTTTTTTAAATCACCAATTAGATCTTTGTTCCTTCTTGTTGTGCTGTAAGTGTGATGAAAGTGATCTAAGTATTTCCAAAAGCACACCTTTCAGGCATGAAAAAAAAAGAAAGTGTTAATACGCAAGTTACTTTAATGCTGGATAAAATCATAAAACAATCCAACTGAAAAGTCCAGAGTATGTGGCACCAAGACTTCTTTTGCCTGTGCTCCCAATGCTTATAATTAGGGAATTGTAGCATGACCTCTTGTCCTTCATGTTTGCCCCTTTGTTCCTTTTTACCCCCCTGTTACTTTTTGGACTGCCATAAACATGTGTTCCTAGTTCTTACCCTTGGGGTAGTTGCAGTTAAGGTGGTGTGTGCTTTTGGTTTTTAGTTCTGAGGTGATCTAGCACGATAATTGTAATTGTCAGAGAGGATGTCTCCACTCTGTTGTAGAAATTACTAAAATGTTCAAAAACCGTTAAATAGTTGCAGTGGACAAACATACATACATATATATAATTTTATACCTCCTTATTTGTGATTTTTAAAAAATGCTCTTATTGGTTTAGAGATTTTCTTGGGGAAAGGAGTTTAGGGTGGGGTGTGGTGGTATTTTTAAACTCTGGTGATTTGGTTTAACAACTCCTGGACTGTAACAGTTCTTTTGCCTTGCCCGAAAGTTGCTCAAAGTAATACAACTGTCTGTGAAGCAGAACTGGTTCATGACAGAATGGAAATTCAGAATAAGCATTTAGCAGCTTCTAGCAATTTGAAATTACTATGACACTTTTATTGTAGCTTGCAAAATTGTTGTTTTGCAGTGGATTGGAAATTTAAAAAGCTGGTCTTTACCACAGATAATTTGAGATGTACTAGAACTATGTGAGTTTTCAAACTGCCTAAATTTGAATCCTTGCTCCATTCCTTATAAATTCCATGACAGTGGACAAATCATTTAGACTGACTCATTTTGTTTTATTTTATTTTTCTCAAAATGGGAATAGTACCACCTCAGGATTATGTGAAGATAAAATGAGAATTTTTTTACTCAAATGTGTAAGATACTATTCTGGATGCTGAAAACACAGCAGTGAACAAGACGAATCTCTGTGCTCATAGCGTATTACAGTAAATCCTAGTAAGGAAGGTAATAAACCAGTAGGTATGTGGTAATCTCATCATGTAGTAAGTATTCTGAGGAGAAAGAAAAGTAGGTCAAAGGTATGGAGAGTGATAGGGATTGCTATTTTAGATAGAGCAGTGAGGGAAAACTCTTCTGAAAAAACAGCATTTGAGTAAGGACTTCAGTGGAATGAAATGGCACACCATGTGAATAGTGGGTTAAGGGCTTTCCCAGCATGGGGAAGAACAAGTGAAATGAGGTCAGAAAGTTAAGGAGAAGCCAGATCATGTAGGGCCATCAGGAATTAAGATTTTGTTTTTCCTAAATGCATTAGGAAACACTGGAGGGTTTGCTCAGCTCAGAAGTTTGTACCTACTAAAAGTTGAATAACATTAATAACAACAGACATTAAAATACTATGAAAATCATTATGAGTTATTTTCTGCCAGGCTTTTGAAGTTAATTTTTTTTTTTTTGGTCTATTAAGATAAACTGTAATTGTGAGAATGCAATTTAATGTATAATTTGAATAGTAGATGAAAGCAAGTATTACAGTTGCGATCTTAAGAAAGTCATTTAATAATTTGGTAGTTGTGACAAAGATTCTTTGCTTGACCAAACTTTAGGCATGCTCTTAAAGTTTCTCCTATCTTATCTATGCTCGTGCTTGTAAAATCCAGTTTAAGGAAGAGCTCTTGTAAAACCAGTTTAGCAAGAAATCTTCCTCATTCTATGCCATTCCTCAGGTGATGCCTGATCCCTGTTGTCTGCAGTAAAAATCCTGTTAGGTGGACCTAGCCAAAGTCTTTCTTACTCCAGATGTTACTTCTTAGTAATTTTTCATCCACAAATGCACACCCTGGTCCTTAGCTAGGAATTTCCACTTGCCCATGCTGTATTCAAGAGTTGAGCCCAATCCCTTTCCCTCACTGCAAAATCTCATTGCTGTGGTTTCTATACTTGTCAAGATGGTTCTGAATAAAGTCTGCCTTACCATGCTTTAACAAGGATCAGGGAGTAATTTTTTCTTTAACAGTTATAGTGCTGTGACTCTGGTAGGATAAGATTCATCATTGGACCCCCGGACCTCTCACCCAGGACCCCAAGTGTGCACCTTTGAAGCTTTGTCTTTACTCCTGACTGATTGATCGGGGATCCAGTGGTGAGTCAGATTTGTGAACCATTGCTCTGGACAAACGTCCATTGAAGCTGGTAAGGAAAGATCTTGATTCTTAAGATTCTGATTATATTCTCTGAAACTGGGCTAGAGTCCCAGGCTTCTTTTGAAAGGTGCCTTTTGGGTGGAAGGATCGTTTTTCTGGCTCTTTTTCCTGAGTAGGGATTGCTCCCTGACTCCTTTGAGCTGAAGGTCCTTCCTAGAACTCTCTTAGACCTCGCTCTCCTTTCTGTTGGGTCCTCCTCGTTCTCCCATAGGAACATCTCTGTTTGAATTCCCTCTTGAACCAGGTGACAGTATGCTCCACCAGTATGCTCCAGAAGTAACATCTGGAGTAAGAGAGACAGAGTTGGTGGAGCTGATAATGTAGTGTTGAAGTACAACCTCTTTGTTGGAACCGTATTGGCTTCTTTGGAAAACTTAAGGTCTTCCCAAACTGGCTCCTAAGATCTCTCCCTCCCCATTGCTATTGTTTCTTCCTCCTCTTACCGCTTTTAACTTTCTCTCCACTTTCCTTAAATCCTTTGAGATGTCTCACTTCAAATCCCTACCTCTTCCATTCATCTGTTGATCCCTTCCAGACCTCCTTCCAGCCTCTTAGTCAACTGTACTTTACGCCACCTCCTTTGGGGGCTCTCAAAGGACTTCAGGGCTCCCAAAAGCAACCACTTGAGATTGAAAAGGAAAAAGGATAATTGGAAATAGACTATAAGTATTATATCTATACTAAAGTGGGCTTTGGAGATACCCAGATAGCACCAGATAGCTCCACAGCCTCAATGAGATGATTACACATTAGGGGCAAAGAAAATCTTGAAAGTCTCTTCAACTAATATTGGTAAACAGGTAACCTTAACTTGTCCCGTTTTTGTCAGAAACACAATTTGGATAAAAATGTACAATAAAATTAATTGCTTGATGCATGTCAAGTACAGCAGTCAAAGAGAGAAAAGAACTGTATATTAACATCTTTGCTTCTGTGATGTTTTTGACACTTGCCTAATTGTCAATAAAAGTAAAGATGGTGGCTAGCTTTGTTTAACATCCCATGAAAATTTCATGAGCTATTCAAATATAATTATTAAGGACAAGTGAATTAAATAAACATAAATGCGATAAAAGTTTATGTATGAACTTTTCAACAAGAGTTACATTTATAAAATATATTTACTCAAAAATTTTAGTTTGAAAAACCTTGGCTAACTTGAAACCATAAAGCTGTATTGTTAATAGTCACATACCAAAGCTGAGGGGTCAGGACTGACCCCACCAAAGGTGTTTTCCGCACATCTGGTTAAGCGGGACAACAGACTGCAAGAAAACCTTTGGTGCAGTCAGCCTCTCCCCCCAATGCTCACCACCCCTTAAGGCACACACTGGTATTCAGTTGTTAGGTTGAATGATATTCATTGAATATCTAGATTATATCCAAGTAAAATACTGAACCGTTAATTGCTGAATATCAATTTAAATTTAAATACTTTTGGCTTAAATCTTACATAAAGATAAAATGTATTTGGGTCTGTTCATAAACATGTCCTGTGCTGCATTGAAAAATTACATTATGAGGATAATTTATATTCTGCTTATAGAAATTAAGAAATGTTACATTCATAAATTTCTTAATATGCAGAATGTTGGTGTGTGACAGCTTGTTATTGCTGACTTCTTAGTTTTCGCTAGAAATTAAGGTTACTAAGAGTTGATAATTCTAGTTTATGTAAGTGAAACTCCTGGGAATAATGGCAAGAACAATAGCAACACTGTATACAAGAAGAGTAGGATATGTTTTTGGTAAGAAAAAGTATGAGATATGAAGATATGGATGAGGAAAAAGAAAAGTAATTTTGTCTTAGTTTGGAGGTTATTTGAAAGTTTTTTCAGAATGGAAAAGAATGTAACAAAAACTGAATGGATATAGGAAGTTGAGAAGAGAGAGGGAGAGAATCTCATGTGATTAAGTTGGCTAAAATTGAGTGAATTTATTATAAGAGTTTTTTTTTTGAGGCAGAGCCTCAAGCTGTCACCCTGGGTAGAGTGCCATGGCATCACTGATCACAGCAACCTCTAACTCCTGGGCTCAAGCGAGTCTCCTGCCTCAGCCTCCCAAGTAGCTAGGGCCACAGGTGTCCATCACAATGCCCGGCTATTTTTTTTTTTTTTTGGTTGCAGCCATCATTGTTGTTTGGCGGGCCCAGACTAGATTCGAGCCTGCCACCTTAGGTGTATGTGGCTGGCGCCTTAGACACTTGAACCACAGGCGCCAAGCTATAAGAGTTTTTAAAAAAATTTTCAGTATCAGTATTGTGCCTATGCAAAATTAAAATTTCATTTTCGTCGGCTTGGTGCCTGTGGCTCAAGTGTCTAAGGCACCAGCCACATACACCCAAGGTGGCGGGTTCAAATCCAGCCTGGGCCTGCCAAAACAACAATCATGGCTGCAACCAAAAAATAGCCAGGCATTGTGGCAGGTGCCTGTGGTCCCAGCTACTTGGGAGGCTGAGGCAGGAGACTTTCTTGAGCCCAGGAGTTGGAGGTTGCTGTGAGCTGTGAAGGAGGATAGCTTGAGGCTCTGTCTCAAATTTTCATTTTCGTTCATCTGTTGGAAGGACAAAGTTTTCTTGGATGATTGAGCTTCTTTTGATAAGAGAAAGTTTTCTCTTTATCTTTTAAATAATCTGCCTACAAAATATTCTTTATTTTATCAAAATAAATTCCTGTGTTTCATGTTGTCTGTCTGTCTCTCTCTTTTTTTTGAGGCAAAGTCTTACTCTGTTACCCCAGGCTAGAGTATCTGTGGCATCAGCCTGGCTCACAGCAACCTCAAACTCCTGGGTTCAGTCCATGAATCTTCCTGCCTCAGCCTCCCAAGTAGCTGGGACTACAGGCACCTCCCACGATGCCCAGCTAATATTTTCTGTTTTTAGCAGAGAGGGGGTCTTGCTCTTACTCAGGCTGGTCTTGAACTTTGGAGCTCAAAGAAAATTGAGTTGTCTTGATAATTAAAAGAATTAAGTTTTGTTCATAGCTATGTAATATTCTGTATTTGCTGTTACAATCTTTGTCTCTTTAGTTAAATAGGTAAGAATTATTTCGTAATTATGTGATTCTATTTAATCAAGGATTAATTGATTAATTTTTGACAACTTCTCCAAATCAAATTCTAAATAAAATCGTTTCAGCCTTGAATTAGCTTTGAGATTTTCCAGAGGGCTCCTAGAAAATCTTAAAGGATTTGTCTTTAACCCTATAAAAAGCGAGATATTAAACTAATAGTGTTTATTTGGTATGCTATGTGAGGAACACTGTCAAATCAGAAGTGATGCTAAAACTTCTGTAGGTTGTATTTGTGTGGGTATGCATTTAATAATATAGGTGTTAAGTTGTCTGAAGTTCATAGGAATTTGTCAGTACCCTCTTCATGGTATGTCTGGCATATGTTATTAGCCATAATTTTGGTTATTATGTTAAAATGTTGTATGCTACAGAAATAACTAAATTTACTTATCAAATGAACTCTCATCAGATCTTTAATCACGGCCATTGTAAGTTGTTTTGTCAGTCAGTCAGTTACTTGTTTTACTCTGATGCTTTCCTGAAAGCTTTGCAAGCAGCTGTTACCCAGAAGTGCTTCATCTTTACAGAGAGATTCATGGAAAAGACTCTGACAAATACAAGTTTCTGAGACTTTTAAGATCATACCATCAGACAGAGGAAGAATTTCAACAACACTAATGAAGAAGTCAGTGGTTTCATGAAACTATTAATTCAAAATCAAGCAGGACAAGAATTAATTATATGGAACCAAATGAATTGATAATAGGACAATTCTTGTTTTGAAACATTGCTGGTTCCTAATGTTGTATTTCCAGATTTAAGGAACCCATTTCTGTTTTCTCTTAAGCTATCTACAACTTACAGCAGTTTGGCAAAATACACTTTTTACAAGAAGTGAAACTTTTTTTCTCCCTGCCTGATCTCCCCCAAATTCAGAAACTTAGTATTATTTTCATGGCAATATAATTATTTGCATAAGTTCAGGAGGAATCTGTTCTTGTAACAGGGCATAATTGAGAACTTTAGTTATATTACCAAGCTTTGACCAGAATATTGTATTTGAGAATGATGTGTAAAATTTGATATGACCAGAGATAGCTTTAAGGAACTAGTGTTGATTTTTTTTTTTAGGCACAAATCCTAATAACGCCCCTTTTGTTAAAACTGGCCTGATAACCTCACTTACAGGGTTCTTGGCCTTATAGGTGAGTAAAGGAGGCCACTTCTTGGCAGCCCTAGAAACTTTTGAATATTTTGATAATTTCAAGAAGAGAAGATTTCAGCCCAAACTAGGTATTAAAGGTAAAGTCTCCTTTACCTTTAAAGGAGAGTTCCTGGGTTGGCTTCCTAGCCTTGAGGAAGCTTTTAAAAATTGAGTCTAGGCTCAGCGCCTGTAGCTCAGCGGCTAGGGTGCCAGCCACATACACCAGGGCTGGCAGGTTTGAACCCAGCCTGGGCCTGCCAAACAACAATGGCAACTACAACAAAAAATAGCGGGGCCTTATGGCAGGCGCTTATAGTCCCAGCTACTTGGAAGGCTGAGGCAAGAGAATCACTTAAGCCCAAGAGTTTGAGGATTGTTGTGAGCTGTGATGCCACGCCACTCTACTGAGGATAACCTAGTGAGAATCTGTCTCAAAAAATAAATAAACAAAAATAAAAATTGAATCTAAGATTTTTCTGGAAAAATTCCAGCAAAGCAAATTCAAAAGGCCTCTGTGGTCAATTACCATTCTTACTGCACTTAAGTAAATGATTAGGCCAAATCTATCGAGACCAGACTTACTCTGTAAACTAGTAGAAAAGGGGAGGTGATTATAGAGAGAGTTTGTTTGTTTGTCTGTTTCACTATAGTAGAAAACTGTAGTGCACCCTTGTGGGTTTTGTCCTGTACACTTTGACTTCTTACTAAATTCTCAGTTCTTTTAGCTTCTTCCAATATCTGGCAACAACTCTCCAAACAACTGTTTCTCATTTTTTCCCTCTCCTCCTGACTGGCACAACTAATGAAACCGCCCCTATCTGAAGCCCTACAAGCTGAAGCAGGATGACTTGATAGGAACTTTAGAGCAGTCCCCATGAACTGACCATGTATGGACAACCATGGCTATTGCTATGTGGGCCACTCAAAAAGTTCTCCTCATGACATTAATGTTCTATGACATTACTAGAGACAGACTGCAAACAGAGATAAACTGTCACATTATCATGGCCTGTCCTCATTCCATCTGAAGACGCTTCAAGCCCAGCATCTAGAAGTCTTCTTGATTGACTGCCCTCTGGACTCAAAACTATATTTATAGTTTGTTCTAATGATTAATCTTTATTATATTTTTATAGAAATTCCCTTCATTAAATACCTGATAGCTCACACCATCTGCTACGAAGTCCCAACAGATTATTCACTTGGTCCTTAATAAGCAAAAGATGACAAAATGAGAAAGTTGACCTACATTAATTATTCAAGGGAAGGAAGAGGCAGGTTTCTTTTTTTCTTGAACAAGAGGCAATACTGACAGATTACTGTGCTGACAGTGCTTTAATGAGTATCATTATTGAAGTACTCCAGATCATTTGCTTTCTTTGCTTTTAAGTGGACAGGACATTTAAGAGGTCATTGAGAGAAAATACTGTTTGGTTTGTTTTTTCCAGATATACTTCATAGGCGTATTACAGACCACAACTAATTATTCATTGGTTCTTAATTTAAGTTGCAATGCACTTTGTCACAGTGCTGTAGTGTTTTTAGATGAAATAATTTGAAAATAATCATATAGTCCTGCAGTTCCCAGCCCCCAGGCCGCAGGTCGGTACTTGTCCATGGCCTGCTAGGAACCAGGCCTCACAGCAGGAGGTGAGCAGCAGGCAAGCTGGCAAGGCTTCGTCTACACTTACAGCCACTCCCATTGCTTCAGTCACTGCCTGACCCGTGTCAGATCCCCCTTCCATGCAGAAATTGTCTTCCATGATGCTATAAAGGTTGGGGACTACTGATATATCCTGCTACAACAAAGATTTCTCTCTGCCCCAGTATGTAGTAAGCTTAACTCTAAACTAGCGGTTCTTATCCTGTGGGTTGCGACCCACAGAACTGTATTAAAGAGCTGCGGCATTAGGAAGGTTGAGAACCACTGCTCTAAATTATTATGGGAAAAACTTTAAAACTTTAAAATTTAAAGAAACATGCCATGAACTGAACACTCATATACCCTTTATCTAGATTCAATTGTTAAGTTTTTGCCAAATTTGTTATACTCTCATCGCTCTCATTTTTATTCTCTCTCTACACACATACACACACATTCTCTCTCAGGCACAGAGGGTTTTTTAAATTTATTTTTTAATTATTATTACTTTTTTTTTTTTTTTAAGAGATGGAGTCTCACTTTGTCGCCCTTTGTAGAATGCCATGGCGTCACAGCTCATAGCAACCCCCAGCTCTTGGGCTTAGGTGATTCTCTTATCTCAGCCTCCTGAGTAGCTGGGACTACAGGTGCCCGCCAAAACACCTAGCTATTTTTTTTTTCTTCAGTTTTTGGCTGGGGCCAGGTTTGAACCTACCACCTCTGGTATATGGGGCCAGCGCCCTACTCCTTTGAGCCACAGGCACTGCCCCAATTTTTTAATTATTTTTATTAAATCATAACTTTGTACATTGATGCATTTATGGGGTTCAGGGTACTGCTTCATATACAATGTGAAATGTTTACATTGAACTAAGTAACACATCATCACAATTATACTCATTTCTTTATAGTTTTGAAATGTACCATTGCATCATCCACATTAGGTAAGGTCCCCCCAAATATCCCCCCTCACCTCCCCTCTCTCTTCCCTTCTACTTTCTGGACTGTAGTTATGTTTTGCCATTCGTATGAGTGTGTAGGTGGTTATATATTGATTTCATAGTAATATTGAGTACATTGGATACTGTTTTTTCCATTTTTGAGATACTTTACTAAGAAGAATATGTTCCAGCTCCATCCAGGTAAACATAAAAGATGTGAAGTCTCCATCTTTTTTATGGCTGCATAGTATTCCATGGTGTTACATATACCACAATCTATTTATCCATTCATGGGTCGATGGGCACTTGGGCTGTTTCCATGTCTTGGCTATTATGAATTGGACTGCAATAAACATACGCACAGAGTTTTTTTGCTTACTATTGTGGACGTCATGACACTTCACCCCCTAAATACTTGAGAGTATATTTTCTGAGAACAGGGACATTTTTCTATGTAAACACATTATCATTATCTCACACCCAAGGAAATTAATACTGATTAAATAATATTATCTAATAAACAGCCCATACTCAAATTTCCCCAGTGTCAAAAGTGTCTTTTGTAGATTTTTTTCCAATTAAGTGTCGTGCATTTTCTTTGTAATACTTGTACTGGCTTTTCAGTTTCTTCGAAGTGGGTCCCTTGCCACCCTTGTTCTCCTCCTCTGCAGTGTCTTTCATGACATTAACATATTTAAAGAATTGAAGCTGATGGTCTGAATTTCTTTTCTCATAATTAGATTCAGGTTAAACAGTTTTGACTTAAGAAGTGCATAGGTGTGTGGTAAGATTTTAATGCTGAAGGTATTAAGAATGAAAAATAAAAGAAAGGGTATTTTTGCTTTTTTCTTTTCTGCAGGATTCTGAACACAAGCAGTTTGCTCTGTGACTGCCATTTGAAGTGGTTACTTCAATGGCTGGTTGATAATAATTTCCAGCATTCTGTGAATGTAAGCTGTGCACACCCTGAGTGGTTAGCAGGACAAAGCATCCTGAATGTGGATCTGAAAGATTTTGTCTGTGGTTTGTATTCTTGTTTTAAAAATTTATATATTATCCACTATCTTAAATTAAAACAGGGGAAAAAAAAAAAAAAGGAACCAGAAGCATATTTCCATGTCTCTATGTTTTTCTCCAACCTGTGTTTCAGTGATTACGTTTTTGTATTTTTGTAATCATTGGTTAAATTTTATATTCTCTGTTTTGATATTTTATAAGCAGTGTTTTTCTTTTTTTCTTTTTGAGACAGAGTCTCAAGCTGTCACCCTGGGTAGAGGCTGTGGCGTCACAGCTCACAGCAACTTGAGACTCTTGTGCTTAAGTGATTCTCTTGCTTCAGCCTCCCAAGCAGCTGGGACTACAGGCACCCGCCACAACTCCTGGCTTTCTTTTTTTTTGGTTGTAGTTGTTGTTGTTATTTGGCAGGTCCAGGCTGGATTCAAACCTCCCAGCTCCCGTGTATGTGGCTGGCGCCCCAGCTGGTGAGCCACAGGCACCACACCTTCATAAGCAGTGTTTTCCACCATATTTTTAGGTGATCGTTTTAAATGGCATAGTTATAGTGTTTTTATGAATGTTGGCCTTTCCCTTTTAGGGTTATTGTTAATCTTTATCCAGTAGTAAGATTCCTGAATCAAAAGCATGATTTTTTTTTTTATTTTAACGTGGATACTTTTTGTAGATCTTGAAAAGTACCACCAGGTGTTTTCACAAAAGATAGCACTAGTTTATGTTGTCACCAGCAGTATATGAATGTTCTGATTTCACGTGCTTTGTATTTTTGATGTAGTTTCTTAAAGTGGCAGTTTTGGTTTGTCCTTGAAAGTAGGGGGATAATCATAGGCCAGTTGTCCTGATTCTAGCACTCAAAATTTCAAGTAATGAACCATATTGTTCTTTCTCAACTTGGAAAATTTTTCCTTCACACTTAACTCTCCTTTAACGTGAAATGACTGATCCTTAGCTTTACATGGGAGAACTTGTAGATCATTATATCCATTTTGCATGTCACTTGTATCTCTGATCATTTGGGTACCTGTGTATTGCCAGATGTTTTTTCACATTTTACTTAAGGATGCTTGAGACATTTGGAAGTTCAGGCCCACATAGTGCTTCCATTGTTTTTACGAATTTTAAAGAAAAAAACAAAAAAATCTTTAGTAAAGATTAAATTGTTTATATTCTAGGCAGCACCTGTGGCTCAAAGGAGTAGGGCGCTGGCCCCATATGCCAGAGGTGGTGGATTCAAACCCAGCCCTGGCCAAAAACCTGCCCCCCCCCCAAAAAAAATTTGTTTATATTGCTACACGTTCCCTTTTAACTTAATTTTAAATGTAGATATGTATTTTATCCTCCTTTTCCACTTTTAACTTATATGGCACAATGAGATGTTGTCCAATAAAGATATTAGTTAAGATTTCAGGCTGGGAAAGGTGGCTCACTCCTGTAATCTTAGCACTGTAGGAGCCGGGGGTGGGTGACTTGCCTGAGCTCAAGCGTTTGAGACCAGCCTGAGCGAGAGTGAGACCCTATCTCTACTAAAAATAGAAAAACTAGCCAGGTATTGTGGTAGGCACCTGTAGTCCCAGCTGCTTTGTAGGCTGAAGCAAGAGGGTTGCTTGAACTCAAGAGTTTGAGGTTGCTGTGAGCTATGATGCCAAGGCACTCTGCTCAGGGCAACAGAGTGAAACTCTTGTCTCCAAAAAAAAAAAAAAAAATTCATTTACCTGCTTGTCTGAATCAGTCAAATAATATTTTTATTTGTGAATCTGTATTTTATTAGCCAAGCCTAAGCCAATCTTGATTTGGACATTTGACATGTCTGGAATTTTTTATTAATTTAAGTGAAAACTATGCACATAAAAAGTACTTTCAAATAAATTGTTTTATTAATAGGTATTCCCTGTGAAATATAAGTTCATAATTACCATGTTATGTCTTGGCACAGAGAGGATAGTGGTTATATACATGTTTGAATATGTATCATATACATATATATACAAAGGATAATAGAACTTGTCTTGAAAGTCTGATGTAAAGTTTCTCTTTTTCCCCATAACTGGTGCTACCTAAGAAGTATATTCTAAGCATACAAGTGACAGTAGGGAACAGTAAAAAGACTGCTAAAACCTGAGGTCAAGAAACCTGAGTTGCAGTCCAGGTTCTGCCGTTGGCTCACAGGCCTTTGAGCAAGTCATTTGACATTTCTCGGCCTCATTTTGCCCATCAAGGAAATAAACAAGGGAATTAGGCTTCAGTGCTAAAGTCTTTTTCGACCTTAACATACCACTTTGTAAACAGAACTCAGTTTTACAGTATTTGTTTTAAAACTGAATCTAAAGAAGCAAAGATAAAAAACTGATTTGGCTACTCCTGCATTTTTTCCCCTTAGATGATTTTCTCAAGCCACAAATGAGGGTACATCCTGAAAACACAGTTGCTCTACGAGGCATGAACGTGACTCTGCTGTGCACTGCCGTGAGCAGCAGCGACTCACCCATGTCCACTATGTGGCGAAAAGATAGTGAAATCCTCTATGATGTGGATATTGAGAATTTTGTTCGTTATCGGCAGCAAGCTGGAGAAGTTCTGGAATATACCAGTATCTTACATCTTTTCAATGTGAATTTCACAGATGAAGGAAAATACCAGTGTATTGTTACTAATCACTTTGGTTCTAATTACTCTCAGAAAGCCAGACTGACTGTGAATGGTAAGGAATTCCACCCCTTGATCTTTTTTTTTTTTTTTTGGTAGTTTAGAAGAATTTTTCATGTTCAGTTTTTAAATCACTTGACAAAATAAATTAGGCTAAACCTTATATTTGAAGGGAGAATCTTATTGTTGACTTTTGGGTTGTGGGTGGGATTGTTGGATTAGCTGGTCTGCCTACTTCTCTCTCTGGACCTAACTATTCACACTGGTGCCATGGCCAGATTAGAATGTGCTGCAGAGGGGGACATCCTGCACCTCAGACTTACTGGTCTTTATTTGAAGGGTAGAGGTCACTGGTTGAGGAGTAAATTTTGTAGATCTACTTTCACTATTTTCACTATTTGTGCTTTTGAAAACATTCTTTGGAAATTCTGTTTTCTTTCTAGAGCTATAAATCTCTCCTGAGCTATGAAATTTATTCCTAATGGGCCATCTAATAATAACTAGGACATTTAGTAGGACATTTCTAGGTCTAGTGATCGTTATTATTGTCTAAATGTAGTCACAGAATCATGTTTTGAAATTAATGCTTTTCTCTGTGGCTACAAAAAACTTCTCCAAAATGGTGTGGTGTATCTGTAGCTTGTGCGATTGGCACATTATCTGCCATATGAGTTGTATTTAACTTATGATAGTTTTGAGCCCAGGACCTCATGAAGCATATATAACTCACACATCTCTTGACCTATTTTGATAATAAAAGACCATGACCCCAAGGAAAAAAATTTTTTTCTAGTGTGACAGTCAGTGTGTTGAATAACTATTAACATTTTAGGCTTTGTGTAGCTGAAGGATGTACTTGTTGTGTCTTCTGTATTTTTCAATGAGATTTTTGAAGGCATAAATTGGTTTTTTTGCATGGAGTTCCCATGACAGCTTTGTAGATTTTAGTTTGGGAAGTACTGTTTCGCTATGTAAGTGAGGGAGTCACAGTAAATGTCAGGTTCTAAAATAGGGAGTTAGACAGGTTTGTGGCCGTAGGTTTTCTCTCTTTCCATCAGATGATCACATAAGTATCACACATCCCAGATGAGTTAGTTGTCACTGTGCTTTAGATACTCTGAAGTTCTGGGAGAAGAGATGGCCTCTGAATCTATATTCACTCTCAATCCAAAGAGCATGTCTTTTCAGAGAAGTAGAGCATTACAATAGCTAGTGTCTCACCTACTGGACTCTTAGGTGTGGTTCTCCACCCCTCCCACCCCCTCAGCCCCTCACTCACTTTTTCTGGATGATCTTTCTTGCAACAGAGATGCCATCTTTTCTGAAAACGCCAATGGATCTAACGATTCGCACTGGTGCCATGGCCAGATTAGAATGTGCTGCAGAGGGACACCCTGCACCTCAGATTTCCTGGCAGAAAGATGGTGGTACTGACTTTCCTGCGGCTCGAGAAAGACGAATGCACGTCATGCCCGAAGATGATGTCTTCTTTATTGCCAATGTGAAAATAGAAGACATGGGAGTCTACAGCTGCATGGCACAAAATACAGCAGGAGGCCTCTCAGCAAATGCCTCGCTAACAGTGTTAGGTACGGTGCTGCTCAGAGGGGCCAGGCTTTTGTTGGAGCCTTTTGGGAGCTGCTCTTTCTCACTGAGCAAGAAAAACAATGTTGAGATCATTGTTGTGATTCTTATGTATTTCTTATTTTGCCATTTGTTATGTAGGGTTATATCAGTCTAGAATGTTTCTGCGTCAGATAACTGACATGTAGGAAAATGTGAGCAAAAGCAGGGATTTTTTATTACATGAGTTAAAAATTCAAATTCCTTTGTCAACTTCCAGTTTTATGTCTTGCTGTGTAAGGTTTCTACTGTATGTATTTTTTTAAACTATTCAGTGTGTTTGCATTCAGAGTTCTGCTATTTTTCCTGTAAGAATCTAGCCATTTGATACTGTTTCACATATAGTTTCACAGCCTAAGATAATGTAATGGTTTTTCCCCCTACTTCATTGTTTGAAAATTTTCATGCTTCTCTTAATCCGATGTTCTGGTAAAATGTCTTTTTTCTAAAAATTTTCCCGGAATAGCTTAGTTTATTTATTTATTTTTTTGAGACAGAGCCTCAAGTGTCCCCCTAGGTAGAGTGCTATGGCTTCACTGCTCACAGCAACCTCCAACTCCTGGGCTTAAGCAAGTCTTCTTGCCTCAGTCTCCCAAGTAGCTGGGACCACAGGTGCCCGCCACAACGCCTGGCTATTTTTTGGTTGCAGCCATTATTGTTGTTTGGCGGGCCTAGGCTGGATTTGAACCCATCACCTTAGGTGTATGTGGCTGGCGCCTTAGCCACTTGGGCCACAGGCGCTGAGCCGAGGTTTGTTTGTTTGTTTTTTTCTCTTATCAGAATACTGTGCTTCATGAAACTCAAATCCAAAACAAATTCTACTTTCTAGTTCTATATTTCTCTGGATGCAGGGTGTTTTGTTTTTAAGTTTATGGTTAGTGTTATTCACTTGTATAATATGGAAAATAAATAGTTTATTAGTTTAAAAACGTAAGACAGACAGAAAATTTAGAAAAGAAAGGGAAAATCACTTAAACACTGTGAAAGATTTTAGCATATTTATTCAAGACTTTTCTTTTTTTTTTT